GAAGGAAGAAAAGATAGCGATAAACCAAGGGTTTTGAAACCGGGGTGTTTGGTGAAAGCATAAACACGAACCCATCTCGATTGACTTGATACTTATCATAATAATCTAGTTGAAAGATGAAAGTAAAAGAGGAGCCTATACTATAATGAGAATCTGAAATTAAATTGTACCATTTTTGCAAACACATTTGCATTGGACTGCCCATATCCATGGGATCCTTTTCAGGATTTCTAGTAGCACATTATCATCGAGATTGTGGATACGATTATTATTATTGTCGTCGTCGTCATCATCTTGTTGGGATTGTCCTAGACATATTTTTCTATGAAATTAGATGATATGTGAATTGGAGATATATAAATATATAATTATCATATTCTAAGAAAAAATTTACATAATAGATTCATATCACCTTTAATTGCAATTAATTCTGTTAAAACATAAAATATATAAAATTTTATATTATCTGCAACTTTTAAATTTTTTATATCTCACAAATAATGCCCTTGCAGATAACCATTAACGGTGGTAGTAAACAAAGTAGCTAAGCTTTAACCATGTTGATTAGGCGAAAGCATTGTTAAGCTACCACCAAAGGATTCACCAGTGGGTACATTGATCCCCATTCATCCACCACCACTTTGAAAGTACCACTTTTGAGATTATATTGAACAACTTTGTTTGCGGTTGCCAAGTATACAACATCACAATCATAGCGATGAAACATAACCTTGAAAATTTTTCCCAAACTCTTCTTCAATGGCCATAAATCAGGGTGACTCTTAGTCGTAGTGATCACTTTCGTGCACACAACGGTCCAAGTGCTCTTGCTGTAATCATCGAGTTCCCACACATTCAATGTGGCGAAGGAAGATGATAAATCAGAATCATACGCAAATTCCATTAACCGGAGTCTCTCCTTGCATACTCCTAGAGTGCATTTAGTAGGTAGGCAGCTCGGCAGTTTAATTAGGATATACCGCGAAATGTCATCACTATATGGATCAATCACTAGAATACTGTGGTCTAAAAGCCAATGCAGCTTGTTGTTCAAAGTTACAGAATTGGAGTTGCGAAAATAATTAAGTTGAAGATCAGAATTCAAGGTTTTGCGATGTGTACTCCAATTACCGCTTTCAAAAGAAAATACTTGCAAAATATTATAACTAGATTTCGATACAATGCGCACAAATTTAAAACCTCCTTCACCCTTAACACTACTAATGCCCTCTAAATGTCCAGCACATCCAATTGCTATCCAATTCCATCCATCCATAACAATGTAGTCAATAGGTATTTCGATTTCGATATTTTCTCTAGTAATTAAATTGTAGAAGCAATAAAGTGCCTTCTCTTGACAAGAATCTGGACAATGGTTACAATAAATCAAGAGATCAGAGTAGGAACCAACAAGGTAGGAGTTGACCTTGCGAAAAGGGGAAAATTTGAGGTTCAATGGAGGATTTTGGGATTGGAAAAACGGGTGCTCGGATATTACGGAGGTTTCCCAAATGCTATTTATGTAAACGGTGAAAGGGAGGAACTTGGAAGAAATAAGGTCAAGGAAGATTGGTTGAGAGATAATGTTGTTCCATCTCTTTGAAACACTTCGACATTGAACCAAAAGTTTCCATGAAGCTATTCTTGAAAAAATCAAAGACAATATGTCATCATCTAGTTCGTCTATTCGAGAAACAACCTTGTTTTCGTGTCGAAATTTAGACATTGAAGGAAGTTGTTTAGGATCGGATGTTGTTAGTCATTCGACATTGATGAAGTAAAGTTGTAGTTGCATTACTCGTATATATTTACAAACCCTAAGCTAAGGGAGATGTAGCTTATTTTATATAGGATTCCTACGGCTGGAATATGTTAAGTTTTAACTAAAGAAGAAATTTGATTTAGATTTAAAAATTTTCACTAGCCAGATAAACTGACCAATGAAATTTAAATTATTTCAAAATTTAAATGATATCTTTTAATTATACATATTTTATTTAAAAAATTGATGATATTATCTTATAATTGAATTTATCTTTTTATTTTAAAGAACTTATGAGTAGATCAAAATCAAATCAAAAAGATAAATTTAAATTATATTTTGTGAAGAAAAAAAAAATATACGAGTATATAACTTAAATTTATCTATTTGATTTGATCTACTATAAACAATTAAACATATTTTTTCTAATCTAATCAAGTTTTTTTTTAAAAAAAAAAATAGTCATCTAATTGCTTAATACCCTAATTCATTGGGAAAAAAGTTATTAAAATGAATTCTTATTAGATTTATATTAATGCATTTATTTTACATATATGATTTTAAGATTTTTTATTACAAAATTAAAGACAATTAACAACAATAAAAATTATAATAAAACGACAAATTTGAATTTAGTGAACTTTTTTTTTTCTATTTTATTTTTTTGAAGACGTACTGAACATATTGAACTTAAGTTTTGCGTTTTGTATAGATAAACTTATATCAATACTCTCTCCAGCCCTCTCTCTCCAAAAAAAAACCCTCCGTTTTTCCCATTTTTACTCCGGCCATGAGGCTCGCCGGCGGCCGTGTGGCTCACCGCCCACGCCAAAGCGTCGGCGAGCCTCCGATCTATTCCCTTAAGTTGTTTTTTTCCTTTCCTGTTTTGGTTTTTTGTCTTTTCAGCCTTACAACTTGCGCCGCTCCTCTTCGTCCGCCGCCTCTGTTCATCACCGGCCATGAGGCCGGCTTGCCGCCGTACTTCTTCTCCGCTTCCCCGTCGCGCCTATGCTCCACCTCTTTGGCTGCTGTAGCGACGTTGAGTTCGAGAACGGGGAGGGGGAGTTATCTCCCTCTGAGTCCCTCGTGTAGGGCCGTTCTGAGTCCCTCGTGTAGGGCCGTCGGTGCCGCGGCTCAGGGGTGTGTGGGGTTTGGGCTTCTCGGGCGGGTCTCAGCGGTCCGTGCTTTTATATCCGGCGGTTTGTGGGTTTGGTTGGTGAACCTCGGAGCGTTGGTGGTGGGGCTCGGTTTGGCGACGGGGTGGGTTGTTAGGGTTTCGTTCGTTGTCTTATTTTTTTAAGTTATTTCCTGTTTTTTCTTTTAGGTGCCTTTGTGTGTTTATTAGTTTTGTTATTTTTTCTGTTTGTGTGGTGTGTTTGGGTGATTTGGGGCTTGCAGATCGGTTTACCGATCTTCTGGCGCAGGATTTAAGCCGGGTTTTTTGGCTATGGGGCTTCGGTTTGATCTTCTGGTGGTTTGGGCTAAAGGGGTATGCTTTCATGCCGATATCCGTGTTTGAATCGGAGATTGTCTTGTCTATGGTGAAGTGTACGACACCAATTTTGATTTCAGGTCGAGGAGTACGGGATTCTGAGCCAATGAAGGTTCACGTCAGAAACTACAACATATTGACAGACCCCCTTGCAAGAGGCTGCATAGGACAGCGTTATATGAGTCAAGGGTACTTAAGAATGTAATTTTGCGCGTGCAATTGTAGTTTCCTTTATTTCGCACTTGCAATTGGTTCTTTTGTCTTTGTACTGTTCGACTACGATCTCTTATGTAAGTGCCGTATGGCTTATTATTAATGAATTTTAATCTCCCCCCTTCAAAAAAAACATAGTGAACTTAATGTTATTAGTTAAGTGCCTTTCAAAAAATGTTAGCAATAAAATGTTACCTTCAAAGCGTTAGGTCGGTTGACCCGATTTAATTTTATAAAGTATTTTAATTTATTTTTTTTAAAGAAAAAAAAAATTGTACTCCGTACTTTTTATTTTATTTTTATTTTTATTTTCAATGGGTTTCTGGTGCGGCTCCATGCAGCAGATTGCCAAATCAGCAAATGACAAAGTAACCCCCAAACAAAGTAACCCCTTACTGACTTAGTAACCCTTGACAAAATAACCCCTGACTGACGTAGTAACCCCAAGTAACCCCTAACCGACCTAGTAACCTCCGACCTAGTAACCCCAAGTAACCCCTAACCGACCTAATAACCCCCGACATAGTAACCCCTAACCGACCTAGTAACCCCTAGTAACTCCTAACTGCCGACCTAGTAATACGAAGTAACCCCTAACCGACCTTGTAACCCTTGACCGCCGACCTAGTAACCCCTATCCGGACCACCTGATAACCCCTGACCGGATCTAGTAACCCCTTACCCACCACCAACAAAAAATTACCACCAACAACCACTACCAACCTAAACGCCTTGCCATTAGCCCCTAACCCACAAACAAAACCCCGATCCAACCAAACCATTAAAAAAAAATCAAATCAAACAAATACCTTAAAATGTTAACAATGGTTTCGAATATCACTTCAAATATGGCTAAAAAGGCCAAATTCAACCATGAAAATTCTAGATCTAAAGTTTTCATGGCTGAATTTGGCCTTAAAAACCTTGAACTTGTTTTCCGGCGACGGAGTCACCAAACCACCACTACCCTCCCAGCGATACCACTACTTCCGACGAATGAACCACTAACGAACCATGAAGACGACGATTGTGAAATTTGTGTTACGTTCTTTGAGAAAATGAGATGAAGACTCTGGCTTGAAGAAGAAGAAAAGAAGAGAGAGAGGAAGGAGAAAAAGAATTTTTTTAAAAAAAAATTGTGGCTGGCCAGCCACATATGAAACTTTGTATTTTATTTTACAGAGTACTTTTTATTTTAGTTTAGCTTAATAATCTTTTCCAAATATCTCCTCTAGATTTAAATTAATGTACTCCATAAAACTAGTAAAAACACAAGTACACAGCGTACCACATTACCTTGTACAAAACCAAACATCAACTTTCATATCACCTTTGTAACTAATTATTTAAAAACATAGAATATGCTTGTATAAAACATACAAAGTAAATTAAGGAGCTATATTCTAACTACTACCTCCGTTAAATGTTATGTGCAACTTTGGGGTATTATTTGTGAGATATAAAATATTGCAAAGTTGCACATAACATTTAACGGAGGTAGTATATATGGTGATGAGGCCAAAGCATGTATTGTTAAGCTACCACCAAAGAATTCACCAATGGGTATATTACCGCCCATTCATCCAACACCATTTTGAAAGTATCACTTTTGAGATTATATCGAACAATTTTGGTTTCAGTCTCCAAGTATACAACATCACAATCATAGGGATGAAATGTAACTTCCAAACGCTTCTTCAATGGACCATAAATAATAGGGTGAACAATCGTCGTAGTGATCACTTTCATGCATACAATTGTCCAAGTGCTCTTGTTATAATCAGCGAGTTCCCATACATTCAATGTGACGAAGGAAGGTCCAGTAATATATGCAAATTCCGCCACCCTAAGTCTTTCCTGGCATACTCCTAGGGTGCATAAAGAAGGTGGGAATGGCAACTCGATCAGGCGATACCTTGAAATATCGTTGCTATATGGATCAATCACTAGAATGCTGTCATATAATAGCCAATGCAGCTTGTTGTTCACAGTTACGGAATTGTAGGAATGAAAAGAAGTAAGGCGAAGATCAAACTTTAGGGTTATTCGAGATGTGCTCCATTTACCACTCTCAAAAGAAAACACTTGCAAAATATCATTGGAAAAATAAGATCTTGATATGATGCGTACAAATTTAAAACCTCCTTCACCCTTAACACTACTAATGCCCTCTAATTTTCCAGTACATCCAATTGCTTTTAGATTACCTCCATCATTATTGTAGTTAATAGGTATTTCAATTTGGACATATTTTCTAGTAATTGGGTTGCAAAAGTAGTAATATAGTTGCTTATTTAGACGAAAATATTGAGTAGGACTACAATAAATCAAGAGATCATAGTATGAACCAATTACATTGAGCTTGTATTTATGGTCACAAAAAGGGTGAAAATCGAGGTCGAATGGGGGGTTTTGGGATTGGAAAAACGGGTGCTCGGATATCAGGAAGGTTTTATGACGGTTTACAACGTAAAGGGTGAAAGGGAAGAACTTCAAAGAAATAAGGTCAAGGAAGATGGGTTGATAGATAATGTTGTTCCATCGCTTCGAAACACTTCGACATTGAACCAAAAGTTTCCATGAGTCTATTTTTGATAAGATTAAGAGCAATATATCATCACCTAGTTTGTCTATTCGAGAAACAACATTGTTCTCGTTATCGTTGTTGTGTCTCGTGTGATTCTTATGATGTTGATTCAGAGCATTCATGATGTTCTTGTTGTGTTGATCTAGAGATTTTTTTTTTTTTTTTTTGAAGGATTTTGATCTAGAGAACTTTATGTGAAGGTGTTTTCGAAATTGATGATGTGATGTTGTAGTTGCTATATCTATTTACATACTCTAAGCTAGACAGTAAACATACTTCATATAGGATTCTATTGTTTTTTATTAAAAAATAATATCTTTTTAATTAAAGGATTTTATCTAAATATCTTACAACTCAAAATAATAGAATAATAATATCACAAATTTAAAATTATGTCCAAAAAAATCTGTAATCTTTTACAAATATTGATCAAAATTATTTCAAGGGTATAATTAATTTTATAATTTTACTCCGTAATATTCAAGCATCACATTATTAAATGTTGGTGAACGGATAATTATTCCTCAAAAAAAAAAAAAAAAAAAAAAAAAAAAAAAAAAAAAAAAAAACCTTCTTACCATTAAACAAAACAACTGCATTCAAGACAACTAAAAACATCATGAACAGCTTATTATCAAACGAAAAAACATACAAATTAAAAATTTTTTTTTTTAAAAAAAAAAAAAAAAAAAAAAAAAAAAAAACATAGAAATCACAAGCTCTAAATTACTGTTTCAGTGTTTCACTTGGCCGTGAACTGATGACGGCCAGCAGGGATGAACCAGAGGAAAAACTGTGAGAGTTCGGATAACAAAAGTCGGATCACCGAGACACTTGCTAACTACATCCAATGTTCCCTTCCTCATATTGCATTTCATTATATGATTATGGCATCTCAAATACACAACATCCTCATCTTTTGGGTGGAAACTCAGCACAAGATTGGTCGAAAACTCGAGCATGTTAAACTGATAATCACTAACAAACACCATCTCTTTGAGGCAAATCCTGTATTGTAGGTGCCATTCCCCCTTATCATAGTCCTGCAGCTCCCATACCTTAAGCATCCGGTTCGGATGCACCCCTTTTATCGTGGACATCCTGAGTTTCTCCCTGCAGGTTCCTAGACAAACGTGTGCCATCTCATACTTTAACTCAAAGGGGGGATCGATTAGCCTACATTGGCCATTGATGCCACTAAAAGGATCTATCACAATCATGGTTTCTCCATCATTACCGTTAATTATCCAATGTAAGGAATTGTTAAGAGTAACTGCACTTGTCCTAAACTGCCAAAATCGGCGTATGCTCTGTGGGCAGGACAGCAAGGACTCGCTCCACTCCCCTGTTTCTGAAGAAAATATCTCAGCAATGAGATGACTACTATGGGAGCCTAGCTTAAGGACCCGAACCACCTTGTAGTTGAAAATTGGAAGATTATCACCATAAGTAACCAAACCAATGGCCATATCATCCTCTACATGGCGGCCAGGGATTGGTGGGAGAGCTCGCCATTGCTTGGTTAGAAGATTGCAAACATAGTACTTGCTTTGATGAGAAAACAGTTTGTTGTCATGACACACCGTAAGGTCTCCATGTGATGCAACTATGCGGATAGGCCATTGATTTATTTGATTAGGGTGTTGAAAGCAGGGGAGAAAGTCTAGGAAGAGCTCCTGGGATTTGATGAGAATGGGATGCTCGGAAACTGCATGGAGCTTCCTAGAAGCTGTCTCGGCAAAATGGTGATGCCAGTAATAAAACTGGTGCACCAATGTGAAGGGTGAAGAATGGTTAAGGCTTTGGTGGTGGACAAAGCTACGAATGAAGAACGGATCAGAGATGAGAGAAAGCCAGTGTTTGCAGACAGTTTTCGATTGGACAGCAAATTGGCAAGGCAGTCTTGTAAGGATTTCAATAAGCAAGCTATCTGGGAGATTATTGATTTGCATTGTGTTTATTGAATCTGTTTCATTGAAAGATGCTAAAAAAAATGATTTAGCTAAAATTAGAATGGGTAAGGCTTATATGTTGACATTTTCTTGATAGGATGCAATTTGAAGACGTGCTTTTCATATTTATGTGATATTCTATTACGTGGTTCCCTCAATCTTGAATTATGAAAGTATAAAACTAAATTAATGGAATCTACTTTCTTTCATGTATTATTGGGATAATTATGAGTTAGTGAGGATCCATGATTAAACTTGTGCCTAAGACAAATCTTCCTGCACTTATGCTACGCTTATAAGAGATTAAGCCTAAATTCTGTCGGAATATAGCAGATTCTGCATGACTGCAGACTGCACAACTCCCAGATATGCAGAACATTCATCATATTATAGATGACTTGTAAAAATAGTTGACTAAGTTGAGTTCATTCGGCTGATTAAAGGTAAACAAAAAAAGGAATGGAGCTTGGTGGACTGAAAATGAATATATCTCTATATATTATGGGGGAGTAGTTTCTGAGGCGAATTTGGAAACAGGAGGCTAAGAGACCATCTTATCTGGTTTAACTGTGAAACCGAGCCAAATCAAACTTGGCTGAGCGCAGCCAACTCACATACAAACCAAAAGCTACACTAAATAGAGCAAATGAATCAGGCTTGCCAAACAGAGTCAAGCTACGTCCATCACAAACAGTTTAGTGCCTAATCTATCACGGCTAGCCTCATTTCACCTCAAAGTACAAACAAAGGCTACAAAGTGATTCAGACACCATTACATATAGCATAGTGTTAAACAGGGTAATGTTTTTGAGCTTCATCCACTACCCAAGTGAAATCATTTTTGAAATTTTATGCTATTTTTATAAAACTGTTTTAATTACTCTTATAGATTCTTAATCCATATATCCTACGAATTACCAAAGATAAATTCATACCTTCAGGTGATCTCACAAAAAAAAAAAAAACTAGATTTTGCATTAATTATGAATTGTCAATGACATCCATCACGAGTTTAAAGAATAGCTAGCACAAACTTTAACAGCTAAACTTGATTCCCAATATTCAAATTATTACACCAAATATAAGAGTAAAAATACTTAAGTGCTAAACAGAGCAGCACACATCCAAGATCTCCATGAGATCTTACTCTACAACAAAATTCAGATTTCAAAATTCTTTCGACTAAGAGCTCATTAAAGTACTATGCAAATTCAAGACAGGGGAAATGATGAAGGGATAAGCGATGGCCAACATGGATGCATAAGCAGAAAGACACCACATGTTCCTACAGAGAAACTCGAGTCTTGCAAGCACTCACTGACCACTTCCAGTGTTCTTTTTCCTACATCACACATCACTATCTGATTATTGAATCTCAAGTACAAAATCCCAAAGTCAACCGGATGGAAAGCCAGTGCCTCCATTGTCGAAAATCCAAACTTATGCAGACATACATTCTCAAAAAATGCCATCTCTTTAAGACTGATCTCGTATTCCAAGTCCCAGTTTCCGGTAACATAATCTAGGAGTTTCCAAACTACTAACAGACAATTTGACCACCCTCTAGAAATTTGGCAAACTCTGAGATAATCCTGACAGGATCCTAAGCAAATTCCTATGTCAGGATTCAACTCAGATGGCAGCTCAATGACTCGGCATGATCCCTCAGCTAATTCAAATGGGTCAACCACGACAATGTTTGAGCTGTTCACCAGCCAATGAAACTTGTTCTTGACAGTAATTGACTCAGGCCTGAACTGCCAAGTCCTCGTGAAACTCTGTGGAGAAGTTATCTTAAAGTTTCTCCACTCACCCACCTCAGAGGAAAACACGTTCACCTCAAAGCAGTTACCATTACTAAAACACGAGTCTAGTTTAGGGACTTGGACCAGCTTGAAGCTATTTAAAGAAACAGATTTCTCAGAAGTAATGAAGCCAATAGCAGTATCTGCTACTCTATGATGACCTGGGGAAGGTGGAAGGTTGAGCCACTGCTTGGTTAATGGATTGCAGATGTAGTATACACCTTGCAATAAAGACATTTTAAGGTGACAGCAAACTAACAGGTCTTTGTGGCAGGCCACCATCCAAATGGGGTGTGATTCCCAAGGTCGGAAGCAAGGGAGGAAACCCAGGTGAAATCCTTGCAACTGAAATTTTTTGTGCTCCGAGACCATATGGAAGTTGTGATGAAGGTGATCGCTGAGACAGCGATGCCAGAAATGAAACTCATAGACAAGGGTGAAGGGTAACGCGTGACGGTCATGGTACCGGACAAAGCTCCTGAGAAAACAAGGATCAGAGAGGAGAGAAAACCAGTGTTTGCAGACGGATTTTGCACGAAGGACAGAGATGCTTGGAAGCCTTTGAAGAATCTCGACTAAGAAGCTATCATTCAAGACATTGTTAATGCTGACAGAAGCACTAATTGTTGAGTCTGAAGTAAAAGGAAGCTGGGCTACGCTTAATTCTCCCATTTAAAACTTATTGCTGTTAGTTGCTGTGATTTTTGTCTGTTTTTTAACTGTGATTTATTAGCTTTGTAATTGATGGATTATATTTACATTTCAATAGGTACAAACGTGCTCACCTTCTTGTGGGGCTAACTTCTGCATGTCCAATTATTGTACATGCTTGGCACGACCATATACAACTCTAATCTAACTAGAAATTTTATCAACTATATTATTAAATTATGCAATTAAATACTATTAAGTAAATGCTTGGCACAACAATATTCCCTAAACAATAATAATTAACTCAAACTATGGATACAAGTTTGACAAGATCTGTTCAACCAAGAAAAAAAAAAAGCATTCTTGACGAATCATTGACCTATTAATATTAACCATTAAGCTTAGTCATATGGAGTACGTGGCACCAAATTTAGCATTCAATCTATCATAAATTTCTTATAAATTCTGAGACCTCTTGTTTCCAGATACTTACATAATATTTCTTATATAGCGCCAGAAGAAAAACAAAAGGTATCTATGATTTTAATTGTTACAATATCTGGCATATCTTACGTCTAATTTCAGTTTTCAAAGGGAAAATGCACAAAAATTAAAAATATTACACCATGAATAAAGAAGATTGGATTGTTTCAAGAGACTTGCATATAAACCTATCAGGATTCAGGAATTCTCAGGATCAGAATATATCTACTTGTAGTTTGCATTTTGGTAAATTGCCCCCAAGATAAATAAGGGCCAGAGATATAGGAGCACCACAATTTGCAATTACATATGACAGAGGGATGTTGGATAAGGAGCCTCATGAAAATCACAAATTCACACATATGGACTATCCGACTGATGATGCAACCAGCATGAAGAGTTTAGCTATGTTGAGCAGTAGAGAATTTAGAACAGACTGGACGTGAGCTTAGAAATATAGTGAAACGTACCTTTATTGCAATTTCAAGACGTGCTCTCCCAAGGATGAGAGTGAAAGGTACTGGATTGTTTGACAGTGGTACTTGAAGCAGTCTGTAAAATTTTCCAATATTGCAATGGTTAAGCAAGCTGTCAAAACTCATAAGTACGATATTTCTCAATACTGAACTGTGGGGATAATTAATTAATGCTATCATGCTTATCTAGATCATAAACAAAACTGTAAATTCTGTAGATTAAAACCATTAAGTTTTTCATGTATGTAGGGACCGGGAGCAGCATCGTGAACAGGACAAGATTAAACCCAGCTTACAAGATCACAATTCACAAGACATGCAAGCAGATTTAATTGTGGATTAAATTTTCATACAGGCCCCAAGTTAAAAGAGTGCAAGCAGAAAATATTTAAAGAATTGGATATTATGTCTACCTCCCAAATAATGTTCCCTGTACATCTATCCTCAACCACAACCAATGCATTAATTCGCCTGAATCACTTTCCAGTAACACCAGACGATCACATTGGAGCACCAGTTGTAGCCCAAGCAGAACCATGTATGCATCTCTGATACATGGCTCCTGTTTTGCACTAGTTGTAGACACCTTCTTTGTATCATGGATGTCTTAAAGAAGAGGTTTCCCAGAGGCCTGCACCAGCCATAAAATGAATATATACATTTGGCACGTGATAAATGATGTGATAATGCTGGCCCATGCTTGGAGACAAGTCATCCAAATATTCCTTGGGCATATCATGGAACCTCAGCAGAGTTAAATACTTAAGATTTTTAATGCTGACTGGCACCTCCTTCAGCAGTAGGCTCGGTCCAAGTTCCAGCTCTTCCAATACAGGCAGAGCCCCGGGCACTATATTCAGTGATTTTAGATTGTAGAGATTGTAAAGGTGTAGCACCTTATGTTTTTGAAACCTTCTTGCACTAATATGTAGTTGTTCACCATCCTATGCCTAAGAAATTATAAGCTTCATCAGATCTGGCAATGCTCCCACAAGTTCAAGTGGATGGCCATTCAAACTTGAGTGACATAACATCAATTTGACAACTTTTCAAGCATTAAAATCCATCAGGCAGCTTCTCTAGTCATTTCATCAAGAATAGGCAGCAAAGCATAGGAGGAGGATACATACAGTCTATCTCAAGCACCTCGTCCTTGTATCTAGAAGCAATCATGAATATTCAAGGTGGTTCATGTTCTTAATTGCATTACACATGTTCCTCCCATCTTCTCTCAACTGCTTCAAATCCCCAACTGATCCATAAAACCAACTGAACGACTCATGTTACACACGTCCATTCATCCCAAATTCTGCAATTCTTGGGAATTTTGGAAAACTGCAGCAGGTACCTTTGCAGCTCTCGCATTTCCCACATACAAACTGAAAGTATCATCCTAATGGTAAGAATATGGCTTAAGAATGTCTTAAATAAGATAAACTACCTATCTCAGCTGGTAGCCTGGTAGCTATTGTATGATGGAATGTTTAAGATCCAAACTTTGGAGGTTCCCAAGTTTGCCAATGGATTTTGGCAGCTTCTCTACCTTGGTCCACTTCAGACTCCGATACTGCAGGTGACGTAGACTTCCTGTAGCTTCTGAGATGTGATTTATAAGAGAATTTTGAAGATCAAGCACTTTTAAGAGGTATGTAGTCCTCAAAAATGATCCTGTCAAACAATAAGGGTTTTTAACTTAATTCTTACATATGAATACCAACAAAATGCGAACTAAGGCCCCGTTTGGTTTAATGTAAAACATTTTCAATGGAAAATTAGTTTTCATGGAAAACATATTTTCAAGGAAAAACACAATTGCAAATTAGTTTTCCTTTGTTTGGTTGCATACAAGAAAAATAAAAAATAAGAGTGGAAATGTAAGGATGAATGAGAGGGAAGTAAAAAAAGAGGTAAGGAGGAGAGAGAAAAATATGGCTTCCCTTGTTTTTAGAAGGAAAATGTTTTCCATCATTAAGGATGAAATTTTCCACCCTTGAAAAATTGTTTTCCACTCCTTAACAAACCAAACAAAGGAAAATGGGAAAAAATGGAAAATTCATTTTCCATGAAAACATTTTACATCAAACCAAAAGGGCCTAAGAGACAAAAGTAATATGTAGAGTAATCTGCTATTAGGAGCCACTTGGTTGACAATAGCCAACTAGCTTAGGTGAACCTAACAGGCCTGCCTTGTGAAATTAGCCATTACTAAGACTAATGAGTTTTTTATATACATCTTGACCATATTTCATTCAATAGAAATGTAATTAAGTATATAAACCGCTATTTTCCTGTAAGTTGGACAAACTTTTCTCCAGATTACATCCCATTGAATGTTGTATAATACAATATCCAAGAGTTGTATCCATTGACAATTAGACCAGCAAGGTGCATCAACATGCTTCTTGGCTAATTAACTAAATGAAAAAACACCATCCATAGAACCTAATAAACTAAATAAAAATCGAATATTATGAGATCTAAATCTCCCAAAAACTAAGTACAAAATCCCAAAAATCACTAGAATGGAAAACCAGCAGCTCCACTACCAAAAATCTAATACATAAGAAACGTAGATTTTCAAGAAACGCCATTTCTTTCATACTGATCTTGCTAGCTTAAAAGCCATAATATCAAAAAATGAACATACATTATCTCAAACAATATTCAGCACTTTAGTCCCTAGATTATAAACTACCTTATACTTCGTATATTGATTAATAATTTTTATACTTCTCTTCGCAGTCAATTTTTATACTCCACACTTCAAATCGTTAATTGAAGAAGTAATTAAAGATATACTGCTAATTGGAAAATAAAATATTTAATTTCAAGTAAATGCGTAGTATAAAAGAAGTTGAAATTTAGGTACAAAGCATAAAGGAAAGATGTATACCTTGAAATCAACCAGTAAAACGGAGCATCTGATAAACCCTAATTCAGCGATCATCGTCAACTCCAGAACCACCAGACCAGTGGAAGGACCAACGAATCATTGTTGGTTCCTGCACTGATCGCGGTGGCGCTGGTGGTGCGAGAGATTAACGAAAAAGTCGGAAATTCGATTGTAGGAAGAAAACGGTGATAAATATGGACAGAGAGGGAGATCATGGTAATTGAGTTTAATTGCTTTGGACATTGGGCTATTAGGCTACTATATTTGGAAATTGAGACCAATATACTTCGTATTAAATAAATCTAGGTCCAATATTAGTATATTACTCACATGATATGTTCTAGACTTTGGCCCGGTTTGATAATTAGCTGATTCTAGTGTATACTTGTAATCTTGTATAGTTGTATCGAGTAATTGACTTGATTAGTTAGTTCGGTTGTATTAGATACTTTAACTACAACAAACTATTTTGGTATTTAATATGTTTTATATTCATTTTTTTAAGCATTTTTAATTATATTCCATGTTAAAGAGCAATTAGCTTGTTGTGAGAATTGTTTACTCTATATGGTGTTTGTATAGCTTTTTCAAATCAACTTATGAGGTCTCCATACAAAACGTTAAATTTGTGCATTTTGACATTAAACTAACTAAAATTTTAGATCTAAGATACGTAAATATATATATGTATACACATGACCTTAATCATAAATCATTCTTTATCATGTTATTATGAAAAAATGGAAAACACCAAAGATCAAGCAAGATTATACTCATTTGATTTAAAATGTGGTCCAATCCATATGTCTCATCTGACTTTTTTGTAAATAAAATTTGCAAAAAAAAAAATATCTTCTTCCTCCCTTATCCAATATGCACGAACATTTTAAGACCCAAGTGGACTGTCTTTCTATATCAATTTTATTCACGGGTCAGTGGGTCCCACCCATAACCCACCGTTTTTTTTTTCCGGATTCAAGAATTTGGACATAAATCCGGATAATGTGCCACGGCAACCCCCTCTCTTCAATCTTCCAACCTCACTCACTAATCACTACTCTGTACTGTACTCAATTTCTGCAACTCAACAAAAAAAAAAATCTCAACTTTAATTTCCCAGAAAATATATAAAAGATGGCAACTTTATGTGCTTCCGCCATTAATATAAATCCAAAGCTCTCTAATTCTCTCTCCAATTCCATTAATTTATCATCAACACCCACTAATCTATCTTCCCTTCGTTCTACTTTCACTAATCCTTCTTCTTTGGGACTAATTGTTGCAATTAAGAGTGTTCAAATCACCAGAAACAAGCCTAATGTTGTTTGTATGTCATGGGATGGTCCTCTTTCTTCTGTTAAGCTTATTCTTCAGGGCCGTAATCTTGAGGTTTTTTCTAATTTCCCTTCATTTTTTTTGGATTTTTCTTTGTAATTTCTGTGATTTTTTGGGTATTTCATATAATCATATGGGTTTTGAATATTTGATTGTTTGGATATATGGGTTGATTATGGTTGTTTCAAGCTGTATTTATGCCAATATTTTGAGAAATTGTTTAAAGCTATTGTCTTTGAATGCTTACTTTGTAGTCTGAAAACTTCAAAATTGGATAAATTTAATGTAATTTGCTGGGATTTTTCAGAATTTGTGTTTACAATCTTCATTCTTCAAAATTACAGGCATATAATTTGAATGATGAACGGTTATGTTATGAAATTGCTCTTGAATTGATAATTGTTTTAGATACTAAATTATAATTTATTGTGATTGTTGAGATTGTTAGTAGGGTTCATTTCAATATCAATTATAATTAGTATTTCAGATAGTCTAGAATGATTATTTGAGTTTTTCTCTGAGCATCTATTACTTCAGGTTTCCAGTATAGGTGTCCATATTAAAAAATAAAAAATAAAAAAAATGAAGTTGCTACTACTCCGTATAATGTACTTGTACTAGATTGTATGCAATGATCACTTTTTGTACTCTATTTACTTCTAAATAATAGGCCACTATTCTATTTTTGGTCTGCCTAAAATGTTATGCCACTTTCTATGTTCTTAGCAAGGAATCTACAAGAAAGTGTTAACTTTAATAGCTTAATATGATGGGGATGTAAAATTTTGATTTATGAAGGATAATTGATAAGGTTTAAGTAGTACATTTACTAATTCTTTGGGAAAATTTTTGAGTGAACATGTTGATGTCAATAATGATGTTGTATTATTATAAACAGATGAAGATTTTAGACTGTTGTGATGTTGTAATAGAAATTTGATCCTGAATGTTTGTGTTGCAGTTATCTGATAATGTTCGAAGCTATGTGGAAGAAAAGGTTGGTAAAGCTGTCACGAAGCATAGCCATTTGGTGAGGGAGGTGGATGTGCGTTTGTCTGCTAGAGGTGGACAGCTTGGTAAAGGACCTAAACTAAGGAGATGTGAGGTACTATATTTCACCCTCGTGGTTTCACGTTGTTTCTCTATATGCTTTACATGAGTAGTATTCTTATTGAAAGAATTTGTGTTTAGGTCACCTTGTTTACCAAGAGGCATGGAGTAATTCGAGCTGAGGAAGATTTTGAAACTCTCTATGGAAGTATTGATTTGGTCTCCTCGATAATTCAGAGGAAATTGAGGAAGGTTAAGGACAAAGTATCTGACCATGGTCGACATATGAAAGGCTTCAATCGCTCAAAGGTGAGAGAGCCTGAACCAATAAGAATTACTAGAGAAGATATCTTGGAGGAAGAAATGGAAACAGCCCCTCCTGTTTCTGTTGAAGATGATGACTTTATTGAAGAGGTTGGTTTGTTGCACTTGCTAAGCTTTATTTCATGGCATGTCATTCTTAATCTTACTGACCTGATATTCATCTGCATATCAAGTTTTCTTAACGCTTGACTTGTGCATATCATGTTTTCTTAATGCTTTCTTTGTGCTTATCAGATTTTCTTTACGTCTTACTTTTTATCTTTGAACTTTTCCCATCAGGTGGTTCGTACAAAGTACTTTGACATGCCACCCCTTACAGTAACAGAAGCTGTTGAACAGCTTGAAAATGTTGATCATGACTTCTATGCTTTCCGAAATGAAGAAACTGGTAACCAACCTTGGCACTTTACTCTTTAGCTCACTGCTTGTCTTAAATGTTTCCCTGCCAATTTTGTAACTTCGGATATGTTATTCACACAGGTGAAATTAACATTTTATACAAAAGGAAAGAGGGAGGATATGGGCTTATTGTTCCTAAGGACGGGAAAACAGAGAAATTGGATCCTTTGCAAGTTCAAACCGACAAACAACCCTCCTTCGCAGAATAGGCTGAGGTTGCTAGTCTTGGGTACTAATTACCTTAAAGAACTCAGTTTTTTTTGTTTTGACTGTAAAAACAATCAGGGTTTGAAAATCAGATTGTGGACTCCATGGAGAAGATTTTGGATATTAGAGAAGCTCCAATTGTGATTATCCTCCTCTTTTTGGATGACCTGTTTGTCGCGGTGCTATACTGCTATGTATGTATGGAAACACTATACATGTTAGATAATCTTGTAAATGCACGAGTTAGCTATTTATACTTTGTTCAGTGTCTATTCTGTTGGCTACAACTCGGCATCAATAGCCCTAATGGAGCCTGGTTTAGAATGAGGTCGTTGACATTACATAACTACAAATTATGTATGGAGTATAATGCAAGCTTATGGCTGGTTACAGCAACAACAAAGTCTAAGTCCCAAAATGATTTGGGATCGGCTAACATAAATCTTCATATGAAATCGTACGACTTAAAGAAAAAGACATAACAAAATAATCTATTGGAAGAGTTTTGAAAAAGGTGAGTAAAGTGAGCAAAGGAATTAAAGAGCATTCAAGAAAGGAAAAAAAAAAAAAAAATTGATAATGCCAAGTTGTATACGTTCATTGCTTTACATTACAATCATTGTCAAGAAGGTGATCTACTCTTTGGAGTTGATTTTTTTTTTTTTTTGGATATAACCTACGAAAACATAACTAAGTCGAGGAACATTCATAAAAAATCACATGAAATTTAAAAATTCGCCCATATTATTTTAGAGCATGATCGAACAAGTTATACAAAGTCAACCCAATACAACATAACCTTAAGGCCAAAGGAGGAAAATTAGCCTCTAGAAAAACTCAACACTAGCGACTAAGATAATAAGAATATGTGATAGCTTAATACTAGTTTTATTCCAAAAACATAATACTAGTAGTGTTTAGGAGGCAATCATAGCTCTCACAACCATCTCAATATCATTGGTAATCGCTATGGCATCCTTTGATGCACCTTGTATTCCCATTCTTGATAATCCAGCACAATACAACTTATTCTTTCCTTTCCAATGATTGGGGAAACGATTCTTTGGAAATCCATCATTTTTTAGTATATAATCATAATCCTACAAACAAACAAAAACAACACAATTTGATAAATCGTTTATGCCGAAATAATATACTCGTAATATACTTTGGTTGAACTTAAAATAAAATTTTCATAAATACAAATGATAATATTAAGAGAGCAAGATTTTATTATTAAGGTCACATAAATGGAAGGTTATAAATATTGTGCATACCTTTAACCAATCACATGCTGTGCTTTTAAATCCAGTTGCAAATATTATTGCGTCAAAGGCTAATTCAACATCATCTTCAAATATAACTTTGGTCTTATTAATCCTCGAAATTCCCGGTAAAACCTATAAATTTTACAAATAAGAAAAGAATTAAAATATTAGGTAATAAATTCACATAAAACATCAAATGCTATATTATATGGCCACTTAATTGGGTTTATATGGAAAGATTTAATTCTAGGGTATAAGCAATACAAAAATTGGCTATGCAAAAGATACAACAATACAGTAGAATATTTGTTATATTACTCCATTAAAAAACTTGGTAATAAAATGGGTAGGATTTCGAAATATGGACATAATTACAGTACATATTAGGTGCATATTTGAATTGTCTTTGTCCCCAAGTAACAAAAATATTCAGGGTGCAATTTTAAAAATAAGATTTTCTCTCCTCTTGTAAAATAAATTATACGAAGTACAAGTAAATAATTAAATTTTTCTTCAAAAAAAAAATATGTATAAGTTCCTTAAGGAAAACTGTAAGCAATAAAAAGTAAATAAATATACAAGCCAGGACATATATACAGTACATATTAGGTGCATTTTTTAATAGTAAATTTGTCCCCAAATAACAAAAATACTAAGGGTAAAATTTTAGAAATAATATAATCTTCCCACTTGTAAAAATAAATTATATAAGTGAATATAAATAATTGTCTTATAAAACTATGAGCAATAAAAATTAATAAAAAGTAGGAAATTTACCTTAATGTCAGCGGATTGAATTTTGGCAATAGTTCCCACATCAAGAACTGGGCTCCTTCCTTTGGTTGCCTTTAGAAAAAAGGGACCTTCATTTGGTCGATGAATTCCATACTTGGACAAGTTTCCATACTTCAACTTGCTAGCAAAAGTGACTATAGCATCCACCATTGATAGGGGGATGTATTTTAGCAAATGCATGCCAACAAAGATCATTTCTCTTGCAACTACATGAACCTACATGTATTAACAAAGGAATTAGCTTACTACTTTCTATATAACTTCTTAATTTGTGTTATATATAATGGATTCAAAATATAAGAATTAAGAAGTCTAACCGGATTTCTAACAACAATTGAAGTATTGGCTCCTAAATTACATAAATCATAACTTATTTCCATCCCAGAATTACCACATCCAACGACCAAAACATCCTTACCCTGAAACTCACGACCACTCTTATATTCACTAGAATGCATGACATCTCCCTTAAAATATTTCAATCCAGGGATATCAGGTATGTAACTCTTGCCATTTTCACCTGTTGCAACAACTAGAAAACTAGCGACAAAGACTTTAGTCGCCTTTACTAAGATATCCCTGGCTTCAACTAGCCACTTGCCCGTAGCTTCATCAAATGATGCAGATTCAACTGAGTGATAGTAACGTGGTCTAATATCGAAATCTAAAATATAATCATCAATGTATTCTATGAAATCATCCTTGCTCATGTATTTATTAGCTTGTGGTGCATGAGGCTTAAAGGGTAATGAGCAAAATTCTTTTGCTAAATGAAGGTGGCATCGATTATATGCACGTTTCTTCCAAAGAGAAGCACAACAATCTTCTTTTTCAAGAAGAATGTATGGGATAGATTTTTTGGTTAAGCATGCAGCAATGCCAAGTCCTGCCGGTCCTGCCCCTACTACAAGGACTAACGTTTCTTCCATACAAAATTGTTAGATTTCTCTTTAAAAGAAATATAGAAGTGAGAAATTTACAAGAACTTATTGAATTGAAAGATATGTAGATAGCTAGAAATTCAAATGAAGAAATTGGACTTCAAATTAGTTATTTCTTTGACTCGAGGATAAATTGATGATTATATAGTGTATTTGGGTTTAATACTCCAAGTTGTCTAGAATATATATATAGGGGTTGTGTTGTAAGATTGTCCAAAACTTAAAGACAATCTTGACAATCTTCTTATGGAATATGACAATTAATTTTGGTAAACTTGGTAATTTTTTATTTTAAATAATGATGAATTTGATATGTTTTGGAGGAAGAGTGCATTGGCATGTGGTGTTATTAATTATAAATAATAAAATTGGCAACCTAAGATTATGTCATATAACAGTGATAATTTACTAAGATGTGGGAAAAAAAGGACAAAAAAAAAACAAGTAATCATCTCCTATATTAAACATGAACAGAAGTTTACATAAAAATTTATGGAGTAAAAATTAAAAACTCAACATTTTATTTACTTTGATTTATTTGATTAATTTCCCTAACAGCTAACGTCCTTCTAAATATTATTACATAAATAAAAATTTCTAAACCTCTTACCTCTCATTTTCGTATAGTAAAGTTCTAAGTTTAGGACATGAATCAATCAAAGGACAAATATGCATATTTGAATTTTCTCTGTTAAATTTTTTTACTTCAAATAATTTTGATGTTACAAAGGAAATTATAATATTATCCGTAGCCTTAAACATTGCTATTACTAATAAATGCATTGGCACAATCATTGCCTTGTGTTTCCATGTATAGAGGGGTCGTTATATTTGAGAACTAGAATATTGTAAAATCAAGCCTTCTCAATCTTATGTATTTGGCGTATAATCTTATATTGATTGCATCCCATTAATTACGTTTTTGTGAACTAGAATATTGTATAATATGGAGTAACTTCAAATTACCTATATATATGCCTTTATGTAAACTTGATTTTCATTGATTGAGAAGCTAGGCTTTGTAATATACACAAAAATATATATATATATATATATATATACACAAAACAATGTTAGAATCTCTTAATAATCTAATTATACAATATTCTAGATATACATACAAATATATTCACATTCAATTGGTCAAAGATTATAGAACTGTATTTAATCACTATATAAATATAATTATAAGAGTATAATTATGCGGACCTGCAAATGTCATTTGCATGACTCATAAATCTCGATAATTATAAAAAGATGAACTTGATGTCTAAAGCTATTGAAATTTACGCCTACTACTCTAGCTTACAAGACTACGAGCCTAATTCTAAGTTTTGTTTTTGCATAGGCGCATAGCCACGAAACCAACGTACAACACAAATGCAAATAAACTTATAATTAAATATTTTCCCAAAAAAAATTGAATCGGTCTGGTTAGAGTCTTAGGGCCTGTTCACTTCAGCTTAATTTTTGTTCGGTTCCAATCTATTCAGTTCCTAATTTCCTTCTCTCTCCAATCAGTTCAGTTTAGTTTAGTAAATGTGAACACCCCTTTAAACCGCTTGATTTTGGTCCGGCCTTCAGGACATCCATATTTAAAAAAAGACTCTGATCTGGTCCGGTCCGGTATTCTAATCACCTTTTAAAAATAAAAAAAAAATCAGTCCTAGTTCAGTCCGATTTGGTAAGATGAACAACCCTAATAACAATGTATCAATTGAGTAATACATATGAAAAATAACAATCATTGTAATATAAGGGGTACGTAAAACATAATTTGATGAAAAATAGTTATTTTTCCATGGAACAATAGTTTTTGCACAATTTATATTCTCGTACTAGCTGCGATTCACAATTTTAATTTTAGTACAAAGAATATAAAGATTTGCAAATCGTTTTTAAGTAAAAAGAGAGATGATAAATAGTTAGTTAGCTTTGTAACTTCATTTATATTTTCAATTAAATTTCTTCAAATGAAGAACAACTAGGTAGATGAGCAAAAATATACCCTTGTATACACTTATCACTTAATGTAAAACAATGAAAATTCTATACCTTAGATAAGGTGTCAATAGGCCTCATTATAACCTCATAAAGTTATTACGGCTCACTTAAATAAGTTTAGAAAAAATAAGTTCAAACATGCTCATTTCTTTTCCGATAATTCCAGAACCGTTTATAGCTTATGTTACTACCAGGCTTACACTGCAAAATCATAGCATATACAAGCAAAGCTACGCACCTGACTGTCTATTTGTTGCAATGGTGAGGAGCTGAGGATGCATGGTGAAATTCTCAAATAAGCACAAGCATGTTACTACAGATTCTGAACTTTATCTGCTGTGTACTTAAATATAACCTTAATACGAAAATGATTTCACCAGAGACGGGTGTTAAGAGAAAATCTGTCTTTCTTTCTCCTCGCAAAAAGTGGCAGTATCATATTCTGCATGGCTCTCTGAAGTATCTTCCCATCAGTTTCTGACAAACAACACCGCCTCACTGATGATCTATCTGCCCATATTTAAGGTAAATGGCTTGAATTTGAGAAACGAAGACTTCACAATCCTTAAGTATGCCAAACTGCCAAGAACATCTCAAAAGTGTTGCTGGGTTTTCATGTTGAGCTCAAGGATAATTGTAGGCAATAAATAACATTATGAATGGGAGACCGTACATTTGCCTTAAGAAGGTGGTTTTGACAGCCCCAATATCTCCACTCCATAGTCCATATCAGTACAAAAACTTGCATTCAATTTAGATTGTACTTCTCTTGGAGGCAGTTTTACAGGCGAATTTGCCACCAGTTTTATTAAGGTATAACATTACATTTGTAGTTGGTAATCCAACATGGAAGTGCAGTCAAATAAAGTGTTATTTTATGCAACAAATGTTAATAGGAGGAATTAAAAGAGAGTACAATCACTGTATTCTAGTAAGAGTGAAGGATAGCTCAAGTAGTTAGAGCTTCCTTCCTGATTTTAGGAGATCCAGGGATCGATTCTCACCACCATCCTCGGTACAATCAAAAGTAACGAGTATCAGACATCTACGAAGCATACAAAATTATGCCACGTATCAAGATTTCTGAGTTCAGAGTTTTGACAACTATGCACACCTTGAGCTGCACATTCTGTTTAATCTAAACACAGTCAAGGTTGCTACGAGACTTGCAGCTGTTAGAGCTGCCTGAAAGCTTTAAGAATGGGGTCCTTGAACTGATTCTAGTAGGCTACTAGGCTAACCATTTCTTCAGTTCTCTCCGACAAAGAATATTACATAGGTCCAACCCTAGAAAAATAATGCCAGTGAGGTTTCCACCAGCTAGAAGAAAGGGACTCCCAAGATCTGACATGAATTACTTTCAATAAATACCAACATATGAACACAAACAGCAGCAAAATTTTATCAAGGAATATACGTTTATTATTGTACTAAATCTAAAGAACTACTCCATAGTTGAAAGTGATTGGGTAGTGACTATGAATACAATTATACAGTGCATGTAATATCGGATTATTGTCATTATAAAGAAGGAATGAGCTATATAAAAATGTTACTTGTATTTTCAAGTGTTGAGTTATACAATTTCCAAATGAACACAACACATTAATATTCATTATTTCATCTAATAATGTCAAAGTTTGAAACAACCAAGAATATAATACATTTACCGGTTACTCTATCTCATCAGCACCCATTTCATCCAAATCGCAGCCAACTTGGACCAACTGCTTCTTTGTTTTGGAGAATGATTTACTGGAGACACTCAACAACTTATTCAGAGACATATCATCGCCTACAACCTTCTTCTTCAGTTCATACCGATGCTTGATCCTGTTATCAAGATTGTACCCCAAAAATGCAGGAAAAGACATGAGCTCTCCTATTTCTCGATCCATCTCTATGAGCAAGTAATCCATCTTTTTCTCTAAAGACTTCGGATTGTATTGCAGTATCTGAAAATGCTTTTTGCTCATTGCAACTATATCTTCAGAAGAAAAGCCGTAGCTCAAAAATAAATCAATGACTTCTTGCAAATTCTCTGAACTTGTTCTTGTCACAGCCCCCATTGCCATAGCAAGATCTTTGGTCCTATGGCCATAACCAACCTTTACCAGCATTGCCAGCTTGTGAGAGAGGTTCTTCTCGAAAGAAAGGACAAGAAACAAAGGCGCTTTAATCAGGAACCGATAAATCTCTCCTGAATCCAATCCACATTCCTTCAAAAGATCAATTCTGGGCTGCAATTTCCGCTGTTTGCTGGTACTCAGCACATTCGGGAAAACAAGCACTATCTTGAAGATTTCCAGATCAGTTAGGCCAACATATGACCTGAAGAACTCCACATGACCTTGCAAATGCTCCAAACTATAGGTTACGATAGCTGGCAGTCTATTCAGAACTTCACCTACAGCATCTGTATCTCCCCCACTAAGCCGTTGAAGAAACCCAATTCGCGGTACCAACTGAGTATCCAAATCATAGTTGAGTACTGCAGGGCGCTTAGCAATGATGCTCACAGCATCAAAACGGCTCAAAAATGTCAACATTCTCTGAATCTCTTCACATGACTTCAAGCAAAAAGCCTTGCTAAGATTAACATTATTAAGAATATATGCAATCTTTTCCTGAGGAATACCATGTTGAAGCAGCAAATCAACCTTCTTATCAAATCCTGCAATAAACCTAGGCTCAACCCCAAGCAAAAGGCGCTCAATTTGAATACTTTCAATCTTATTTCCTAAACCATCATGAATAAATTCTATCAAAACACCAACTTCTTCAGCAGTTAATACATCTGGGTGTTTGGATATCAACTTAGACAATACAACCTCATTCATTCCAACTGATTGTAACCCACGAATACGACTGCGAATCAACTCAACTGGCACAACCTCCAAACCCGGGTTTCTTCCAATAATATCATTTGCTACTCTATCATCAATACCCAGAACTTGGAAAACCGAAAACAGATGTCCTAAAAACACAAAAACCCATTATCATATGAAAAGCTGTTTCATTATAACAATGCAGATAACATGTTTGATAAAAGGGCTGAGTGAAGTACATACCGATTTCAGTGAGATTACCACTTTGTTTACTGGATTTGCTTAAAATAAATACATTTCTGGAATGTTGAATTGAAATTGGCAACAAGAAAGCTCGATTATTTCCACCAAAAAACCCAGAAAAACAAAGATGAGGAGAAGTATAAGTTGCGTAAAGAGGAAGTTGAGGAGAAAAGCTTAATAATTGAGGATAAAAAGAATATGATGACATCAAAGTAATCATCTTTCAACGTTCTTCTTTTGAGATGGAAAAATCTTGTGATTTGAATTTTTAGAGTATGAACCTATAATTGGTTTGTGACTTCGAGATGTACTTGGCGCCAATCTCTCTCTCTCCAATCTTTTCTTTTTCTCAAAAAGTGACTATAACTCTACAAGTGGATGTGGGAATATTCCGTCCGTTAGCCCATTTGGGCATTTTATATTGTCTCGGGTTACAAAACCTTACTCGTATTTTTTTTTGTGTTCCACTTGATTCACTCTTCGTATTGATTCGGATTTAAGGATTAGTTCTGGATTGTTAGGTTCCGCTCCTCTCCCATTTATTGTTATGAGAGATTAATGGTTGCACTTTAAATTACGGCTTTATACTAAGAACTATTTGTACTAAAAACTCTACTCTTAACAATTGTTTGTATTCATCTCAATAAATAATTTCAACACATACAAATATTAGTTTTCATTTCATGGTGTTACCATTATTATCAAATTGAGAACAAACTTTGAAGGTTAAAAATTTTCCACCAAAGAGGCTAACAAAACCTTTAAAATCATAAATAACTTGCTCAATTTCAAATGATCTTCCTCATTTGAGAATCTTGTTTTTCATAAAGACAGTGTGATATTTAATTTAAAATAAGTCATTATTTTGCGTAAATTACATCATTACAATCTAATTAATACAGTTAAAATTTGATTCTAATATTTAAAGAAAAGTGACAAATCATTGTGTCAATTAAACGATAACACATCATAATCATAGGACACTTAATAGTTCAGATCAAGACAAGAACATTAGAAAAAGCAACCAATAATGTTGAGAAAAATGACATTGAATTATCATCTACACCAAACATTAGGCCGTTTTGTTCACAATGGTATAGAAAATGTATCAAGACCAAAAAATGAGATGTGATATTAAATGATAGGTAAAAAAATTTAGAGTAACATCAGTACAACAAAATTGCAGTACAATTTACAATCTACACACAAGAAGCACATAGATTGGGACAGGTAAGTCGAATACGACCACACAATCCATCTTTCAATTTAAGTTCAGATAGAGCAGCAGGTGTTGATATATCTCCAGGATTGGACGAATTCGTCCTCTACACTCTACATTACCTCGCATACGCGTTGCTATGCCAATTGGCATTGAATAAAATTAGTTAATTATCGGTATACCATATTTCTTCAAAGTTTATACGATCTTCATCTGTTTAGGGCGCTTCTTTTGAAAGCATTTGCCTGCTTTTATGGCTGCATTAGTATTGCTTGATGGAATCGACTTTAGGAGGATCACTGGTGAGTCTTCTTTTCTGGTTTTCTTGGGTGGTCTCGGGCAAGGGAACCTGAAGGATAAAGGTAATAGAACATATGCTTAACTTTAGTGCTACGACGAATGATTAGAAATTAGGATCACAAAATTTGTGTTGCCAAAACAAACTTGCCTCCTCCTTTGAGATACTTTGCCAGGAAAATTCTCTCTCTCCTCTGTAGGTCTTCTTTCTTTGTCATTCTGGGGTTGTCCCTGCATGAAATAATAGAAACCACAGAGAAGAACAGGTCATTAATAACGCGAACTAAGTAACAACTACACAAAATAATACATTTTCGACAATATTCAGTAAAAAGACTAAAAACACAGTGGAACACCCATTCGGTAATAATATAATTACGCAACTAATCACTCCTCCATATTTAATTAATAAGGATTAACCGATTAAGCATAGAAATTCCATCAAACAACCTAGAAATACTCACTGGAGGCTGTTGCAGCCATTTTTGACCAAGAAAGGAAAGTCAATAAGACGAAGTGTTTGTTACTTAGTTATAATTCATGTAATTCGCATAAAATAACAGTTCCTAGAAAAACATGCTGACTAAAAACACCTATAACAAAAAAAAAAACAAAAATCTCTAACAAAAGATTTTATGTAGAAGTAATAAGCAACAGCATCTAACACACTGACAAGACAGAAAGACAAGAAAGTGCTGATGAACAACATAGATCTTGTTCATAAGTTGATCAGGAAAATGAACAGAAAATAGACGAAACACACATTAGTGAGCATATGAGTGAGAAACGCACTCGTGTTTGCATCAGAGTGAGATTGAACCAGTTACCACCAGTAAGAATGGAAATGTAGAGCAATTATTTGCGAGGATCAGCATCCTAGAATTAAACGAAAGATGTACCGTACCAACTGCAGACAAATGAATGCTACTTGCCCCCTCCGAATCCCCAAACAAACTGATTCAGGCAGGCCGCCCAGCATGAAAACTATGAAAGCTACTCTTTAGTCTTGCAAAAATATTAGCAATATGATCATACATTTACACTGCGGTCATTAGGTCTCTTGTGTGATAAGAAAATTCTAATAAACAGCATTATAAGTGAATTTCAGTATAACATGGGGTTTTAATGTGAGCAACAAGGAAATTACAGCAAATATTAGCTCATGATGGTTGCATTGGTGTCAAAGCAGGGTGCAGAAAGGGACCGTTAACTAAAGCTTATCCAATGCAACTAATCAACGAAACCCAGAAATCAACGCGGTGAAGACAGCATTGTCATCAGACCTGGTTGAAACCTCAACTATAAGCTACCCTTATGAAACTAAATCCCAGGAATTGAAACGGTTGTATTTTTTCCTTTTCTACGGTACACTAAAATGGCTATGCTTCTCAGACTTCTAGCCTAGTTTACAAACACACAGGTTTCAAGCTGCCCAGTCTTCTGCACAAGTTCAGGCATATTTTACAAAACCATGCCTTGAAATAACATGCTAGTAGTGAATACTGCAAGCATACATGCAGAAAAAACTGAACTCACCTGAAGCTAAAGCAGATTAATATTAGTATGAAAATGAAAATTTGAAGCGTTTGCTGGCATGACAATTAGTTTGAAACAAAAGCCAGAAGAAAGGAACTAGGAAAAGGTTTCTCTTTGGCTAAAACATAATTTGTTGAGTTACCCACTACTCGATCTATTCTTTCTCACCTGTTTTCACAATTTATCATAAACTTAGAATAGGAAGACGAATCAGCCATCCTAGATCATTCACTATGACTCCAAACTGAACTACAGCCAAGAAGCAAAATATTCTTCAGAATTTTATGTCAAATTCACAACACTGTACTCATAAATAGCTAGAAAAAATAGAGTGCACAATGCAGCTTATTCACTACAAATAAATAAGTAACCTAATCAAGACATAAAATTGAAGCATGCTCCTCATATAACAGACTAAATCAGCAACAACCCATATTACAGTCAGAGCAAAACAATGAACCCTTCTTATACAGTCAGAAAATTCACAACACTTTTAGTGTATTGGCAACCCCCGCTTGCCCTACAGCAATTTCAGAAAATCAAGCGAACCCTAGAACACAACCACCAGAGTTTTCAAACAGTTAGCAACGATGCAGCAAATAGGAGCAAGAAAGACAGAGTTTTCAGCAAGATCCTACAACAAAATTCGAAAGAGCGTGCCCTAACATAAAATTTAGAGGTTACACATTTGGATTGGTACTTAAAATTTCTTAAAACAAACCTGGCATGGCAAACCCATAGTCATGAAAATGAATAGTACATGCCCCTAAAAATGTCAGCAAATAATGCTATGATGAGATTCTCTTAGGCTATCTGAAAATAACTGCAGATCTTCATACTCTTAATAGGAAGGCCGGCACTCAACCACACATACAAACACCATACATAAGCACATTAATAAAGCACTGACAACTTCTTCAAAGCCAAAAGTAGTGGCAATCACAGAGTAGAAACAAAGCTGTCCACAAACATTTTTTGATCTTGAGTTATCATATATACATGATGCATAATTCCTAGATGATAGAAATTCAGAAACTAAACAATGTTATGTAAATTATAATACGTACTTGGTTCAAATCAACCACAAGCTGATACTACAATGAATTCCTTACACAAAAACCAGTCAACAAATAACTTCAGAGTTCGGCAACAGGTTCAAACTCAATCATGAAAATCGAACCAAAAACTCGAAACAATTCACAATTCCTACCTAATTCCAAGCTTAAACTACGAATAACTACAATCCCATGAATTTTCACATCATCTTGAACATGAAATAATGAGATTCAAGCAAGAAAACACCATCAAAATCACCTTAAACAGAATAAACCCCCCCCCCCCCCAAAAAAAAAAAAAAAAAAAAAAAAACCCAATCATTATCATTATTCCATGTAAAGCAAAACCCTTTTTTCAAACTAGCAAGAAAATTAAACAAACCCATTAATCAATTAGAGTCAATATTACTATTAATTTTCTTACTTTATTTAGTTGCAACAATTTATCATCTTCCTTCACCATCATCTTGTTCTTCTTATTCAGCTGATCATCATCAAATTTCTTATCATCCCCCAAATTATCAACCAACAAATTCCTCTTCTTCCCACTTGAAACCCTTGATTTAAATTTACACTTCTTATCTTTGATTTTCCATTCATCATTCTTCCTAAAAACCCATTTATCCGATTTCCATTCATCAAAGCTCGTATCAATTATCGTAACCTCACTTCTCGAATACGATTTCAAGTCAATTACTTCTTCTACAACATCATCATCAAATTTCACCTCATCAACCCTAACATTCCCACTATTATCATTCAAACTATTATCGCCGCTTGATACAAACCCACAATTATCACTCTTCTCTCTCCTCAAATCGTCCGACGAACTGGGTCCACTCGGCAACTCGCTCTCCGAACTCGCCCCGCAAAATCTAGGGTTTGCCTGCTTCCGAGAACTCTTCTTCGAGAAAGTTCTGGAAGATTCTCCGCCCATATTGAATAACCCACATAAAACTCCGGCGAATTCTCCGGCGGAAGGGTTACACTCCGGCGGTTTCTCTCTCCTCAAACGATCCGGAATCGGCGGCGCGTGTGACTGATTCGAATCGGAGTGAGTTGCTGAATCGGCGGTTGGAGCTGAACCTGAACTTGAGGAGGATAAGAAGCGGTCGAGATCCGGTTCTTCGCCGGTCGGAAAACCTCGAGATGATCGGAGCCGGTCTAACCAGTTTGAGCTTGATGCTGAGATCATGGCTTTGAATTTTAATTACAGAATTAAAAAATAAAATAATTAAATTTAAGAAAAAAAATGAAAATTGAATTTTTGAAGGATTGTTTTTCTGGGAACTTTCTCTTTCTCTCTCTCCTTTGGTTTTCAGTGTAGGTGAAACATCAGAGTGTTTCAGACATGAAAGTGAAACATAAATTTACTACACTAGCATAAAGTACTTTATTTTATTTTTTTAATTATTAATTTTTTTTAGGATAATGCTATATATAGTCATATAAACATTGAATTTACTCTTGGAAAATATATAAAGTTAGGAATTCATGAC